TCCAGCTTGTCAAGATCCTCCTTGAACTGTGGTTCCGAGAACTGGGCACAATATTTCAGGTAAGGTCTGACCAAAGCAAAATTGGTGGTACCATTACTTTACCTTTGAATCAAACATTACTCCATTGATATATCCACTACTCAGTTTGCAAAATATTGACAAATAAGGTAGATACACCATTTCACTGGGATATGGTTACCAAGGATGCTCTGTTGGGGGCAAAAAGGGTTTGCTGCCTACATAAGATGTTAGATTCTCCCAGCTTATACCTATTCAGCCATGTTTTGATTTACACACACAGGCTTCTAATGAACAATCTCATTTTCATATTTAGACAAAGCAATGGGTTTTCTGTTTTTTGGGAGTGTTATATTAAAGGCCTTCAAAACGTATTTTTCCTGTTTGCTCACTGGTACGTAGATAGTTACTAGGCAAAGTAGAGGACTGATCTAAGACATTTGTTGTCAGAACTGATGGTAATATTGAAAATAGTTTTCTTTCCTTGGTCCTTTGCACCTATATTGGAAATTGTTGGATTTCTAAAACCTAGGAGATTATCACATGGGGAAAATCAGGGGATTAAAAATGCATTTTCCTGGGACAGTTGTGTGATTGCAGCTAAGATTTTCACACAATGTTGCGATCTGAGAAAGAACCAGGAATGCTCCAGCAACAAATCATTCATAGGATTTCTCCATGAATGATTTGTTGCTGGAGTATCCCCAGTTCTTCCCAGGATAAGTCTTCTCAGATCACAGTTTGTGTGAAAATCTTAGCCACAATCATGTGACTGTCCCAGGAAAATGCCTTTTTAATCCCCTGATTTCCCACTATGTGATAGTCTCCATAATAGCTATTTATAAGAGAGAAGTATGACTTCTGGGAGATGGGATCAATTTAGCACATGAAAATAAGTTCTCAGGAAGAACTCACAGCAATGGACCCAATGAATTTCAGCTGCACTATGCCATTAATCACTTGCATAAAATGTTCATGCTTTTTTTTTTGCAAGCACAAGAAGACAAAAATATTAGCCATGATATGATGGTGAATTGCTGTTTAATGACTTGGTGAAATAATCAATGATTAGATCAACTCAAATGAAATATGGATGGAACTATTACATAACTGATCAGTGATCATATAATAGGTCAGAAAGGAAGCTCAAAGGTCTGTATATGAGTAGGCATGTTTTAGAACAGTGCTTCCCAAAGTGGGTCGTACCATCCCCCTGTGGATGGGTAGCGGGGAGGGGGGGGGTGAGGCAACTCTTTGAAAGAGTTCTTTGTTTCTCTCACTTCTCTCAGAAGAAAGGCATGAAGCTGGTTGTGCCTCTCTCTATCCTGTTGAAGGATTGAGAATCTTTTGTTTGGAAAAAGCTTCTCTCTTTGTATCTGGTTGAGCAGCAACCAAGAAGCTGCTTGCCTGTGCTGGCCTTTGCCACAGAGGCTTCTCACTCACTACTCACCCAGGTGCTTGGTTGCTACTCCCAGGGTAACAGATTGCAAAGGGAGCAGCAACTGAGCAGCCAGTCACCCTAGGAGCAGCTATTGAGCAGCTAGCCAGCTGGCCTTCCTTTTGTTGTAAGGCCATGATGAGTGATCAGGAGAAGCAGACCTGAGGCAGTGCCATGCTATATTCACACATGAGAGGCTGAGGCAGAGGAGGATGCAGTGGCAAGCTGGGTTTAGTTGAGGTAGATGCTGCTGGTCAGCTGGCTGCTGCACAATCAGTAGACCTAATATCAAGAAATAGGCATTGGGGGTTCTAGGGTTGTTGCTCAAGAGGAAAGGATGTGGTAGCCCAAAAAAGTTTGGGGACCACTGTTTTAGGGGGACTTGGATAAGTTTTAAAGGGACTTTCATCAAACCAGAATGCACCATATACACAGAATCTTTACCTGTCACAATTGTCCATTCTGCAGCATACCTATCCCATGTACAACGATGCCTATAAGAATCCATTTGGTCACAAATGCATGTTACTGTCTAAATTGAGAAAAATAAAATATATTTTGTTGTTTTTGCTCTTTTCTTTGATTTGATATCATATTTGGATTTTTTGGCATCTTAATCATTTCAGTGCTTTTATTACATTTGCACATTGTCCTGGTATCCACATGGATGAAAGGCAGTTTGAAAATGTTATAATCAATTAACAGTAGTCGATATTACAGTGTTAGCTCTTCATTTTTACATATTGTGCTTTCTGTAGTTTGAAATGGTTAGAATGATCAGCAACATAATGGAGGATGACAATTTCTTATAAAAAAACACAATTTCTTTGATTTTAGCAGTTATGGTGGTGGTGACATTAAAAACCATCCTTTTCTCCAGTATATCTAACAGGGTAGCAGCTGTCATTGCCATTCTTGTTGTTTGTTTGTTTGTATCATGTATGCCCTGATTTACAGTTATAAAGTCTCTGACTAAGTTTTACATATAAATAAAACCATGCAAGGCTGTCCCTGCCCTCAGGTGTACAATCTAAAGACACAGAACACATACTAAAATGTGGATCAGGCAAAAGAAGATCCATATACAAGTTCCTGATAGTGTGACGTTCACCAGGTTTAATTTAGCCATCCTACCAGAATTTAGGATGGATAGCTTTGCTCTTCTTCTCATGAAAAGAAGAATCCAAAGAGTGGAGGAGTCAAAAGTTGATAATTTATTGACCAAGTTGATAGGGTGGATCCTGTTTTCTGCCTCTCCTTTATCTTCAGCCTGGAGGAATGATAGCTGCATGAAAGTTGAGGGAAAAAACAAGGATGATAATATTGCCTTCTCAGGAGGACTGATGGTATATTGCTTCATACATACATCTTTGGCCCACAAGCTTACATATAATCAGATTTACCACATATTTACAATGTTGCTACAACAGAAGAATGAATAGTATTAGTAGCTTGTGACAAAAACATGTTCAGTGGATGGGTGGTAAAACAAGGTGGATAGTTTTGATGAGCCTGCAGAATTCCATACAATAAGGCTAAATGGAAAAATTTGAATAGAAGCTCCTGTGTTAAAAAAGAAAGAAAGAAAAAGCATTTGAATTGTTTTTAATGTCTGTCTCGGCCTATGAATATGCAACAAGGCGTGTGCCCACATTTCATAATTATAGGACTGTTACTGTTTTAACTAGCAGGGGTTCATCCCATGGAATCATACAATTTGTAATTTAGTGAGGTTCTATTGCTGAATTTTAGAGAAACGCTCTAGCAGAAGATTCTAAATGTATAAGCAAACTACAAATCCCACGACTGCATAGGATGGAGCCATGTCCAGTTCAAATGGGATCAAAATGCTGTAATTCTGCAGTTAAAATACACCCTGAGTGACTTGTTACTGTGGTTTTCATTTGCTGAGAGCCATTTCTCCCATCCCCTCTCATATCTGATAGTATTTCTTTAAGAAAATATTGGTAAAGTGCTTACATAGATCATTTTCTGTTAACTCATTTTCTACAGGTAGTCCAGTTTGATTATGATTATTATCCTCTTGTACCAATTGTTCCTGTTTCATCTGCTTTTGCATCCTGTGCTAGATCTTGTCACCCAGCCCACGCTAGGTCTTCTCTTACAGCCCACACTGCTTAGTGATCCAAGCTATATGGTGCCATGGTGCCATGGTGCTCTGCCACTGCAAAGAGCCTCTCATGTTCTGTCCTAAAGGTGAGAGCCAAATCTATCCAAAGCTCTTGCAGCATCAGTGCTATGCTTTTCCAGTTGGTGCATCATTGAGAGAAATGATTTTTCCCCAAACCACATTGGTGTATGAACTGGAGCTTGATGTTTGCTTTGTTTCCCTTAAAAGATCCAATCTCTTTTCAATTCCTCCCCCTCCCACGTGCAAGAACAGAACAGACTGTACCAACAAATGCTAGTGTTTTATTGCCAAAATCATATCTTGCCTAGTGGTCGGCATGTATCTGCAGAGAGAATTTTAGCAAATATCCAAACCTGTTTTGATTCAAAACAAATGTACTAATTGTCATGGGATGCATGTGCCGCACAGTTTCCTTATCTCTTTTGTCCA